ATATCAATAATATAAAAAATACGCAATATACATTATGTCAAGATATAAACGAAGTCAATGTCTAAAAGCAACGCAAACAGTTGGCCGTTGATAGTAAACATGGTGTAATTACCTTGGAGATGACATTCTAAAAGATAATAAAGTAAAGTATTCAATCACCGTTACACATGAAGCAAAATTTAAAATGAACTTACTATAATGCCAAATAGTCAAACTCTGAAGTGAAAGATAAAAGGCACGAGAAACATATAGGAGTTCTCCCACTTATAGTGGATGTTTTTCACAGTGAGAGACATTCAAAACATTGAAGTAAGAAGTGTCAAGTAATTTCAAGTCGTTAACAGAATTTAAACTGTGTGACTGTTTTTTTATAAAGATCATTTCTGAAATTAGCCTGGTAATTATGCATTTTAGTTCACACATCACCGATTTCTTTGCGCTTCCGATATGTTGTAGGGCAGGTCATACTGAGCGATTGTGTGGAACAATTTTGTGGGAGACGGCCTTAGTTTAGGAGATATGGCAATTTGAAGTTTCCGAAGTTTAACGCTTTATTCTAGATATTACAAGCTGTTATTACGAACAGTTAAGTTTAAGGGAGCGACCTCCTATTTCAATAATTTTTATATATGTTGTGAAGGTCATTGTCCCGAGTAATAATGTGAAGATTTTAGGCAGGGGTCGTTGTTTGTTAAAAAGTTACAAGAGGACGAAGTTTCACGAATGAATTCTTATTTTTCGGTCCCACGTACATTTCGTTCGCGTTTGAAGCGCGTAGACAAGGGGGACTGCGCCCCTCTGCACTAACCCCCCCCCCCAAAACTTAATCTAACCTAACCTCCAAAAGGGACTTTGCCTCTCCTCGTGATCCCCTCCTCGAAAATCAAGTACCGATTTTTCACAAGAAGCGAATGTAATCGGAAGTCGTAACCCCCCTCGGAAAAAAATAACGATTTCCAATTACATTTGCTTTTTGTAAAAAACTTCTTTTAGAGGTTACGTTAGGTTAGGTTTTGGAAAGAGTGCAGGGGGGGCGCAGCTCTCCTGCCTACGCGCTTCAAACGCGAACAAAAAGAACAAAAATAATAATATTGTTCCAAAACTTTGAACTGCCATATCTGCTAAATTAAGGCCGTCTCCCACAAAATTTTTTCATTTACTTACTCGGTGTGACCTGCCTACAACATATCTGAAGCACATTGAAATCGGAGATGTGTGACCTAAATTGCATATTTACCATTAGCCTTTTATAATAATGATGTTCATGATTTAGAATCTGGACATTGTCCCAATCAAAAGAATGATTAAGATCTGTTTTGTGTTTTGAGATTACTGATAGTTGGGAGGAGAAACGCTTTATGTTATTAAAATGTTCTTTTAGTCTCGTTTTTAAACTCTTAGTCTGTCCCACATAAGACGCTGATCTTTAGCGTCCCACATAAGACATGATCTCCAAACTTGCCGGGCTTGTGTCCTTTCAACAAAAAGATCTGATTTCCAGGTTTAAAAACTTTAAAAACGGATTGACCTTTCGGTTGTAATAGATCTTTGACTTATTCTTGGCTTCAATCACGTTTTCT